GTACGTCGACGACATCATCCTGACGGCATCCACTGTCGCACTCCTCCAGCGGCTTACAGCTCGTCTTCGCGATGAGTTTGCCCTGAAGGATTTGGGTCCTCTGCATTATTTCCTTGGCATTGAGGTGGTTCGGCGACCAGATGGGTTCTTCCTGCATCAGCAGCGCTACGCCCATGAGCTTCTCGACCGAGCCGGCATGCTTAACTGCAAGCCTGCTCCCACGCCAGTCGACACCAAGGCCAAGGTCTCCGCTTTAGAGGGATCGCCTGCATTTGTTCGGCCTTCTACCGCTCCATTGTGGGCGCCCTGCAGTACCTGACCCTGACGCGCCCCGACTTACAGTATGCTGTTCAGCAGGTCTGTCTCCACATGCATGCTCCGCGCGACTCTGACTGGACTCTGGTGAAGCGTATCCTTCGATACATACGAGACACTCAGTCCTTGGGACTTACGCTAACGGCATCCGCCTCCACCGACCTCGTCGCCTATTCTGATGCGGACTGGGCTGGCTGCCCCGACACACGACGCTCCACCTCGGGGTACTGTGTCTACCTTGGGCCGTCCTTGATCTCTTGGTCCTCCAAGCGACAGCCCACCGTCTCCCGCTCGAGTGCCGAGGCTGAGTATCGCGCAGTGGCTAACGCCGTTGCCGAATGCTCTTGGCTCCGTCAGCTGCTCCAGGAGTTGCTTTGTGATGTTCACATGGCCACGCTCGTCTACCGCGACAACGTCTCTGCCGTTTACCTCTCCGCCAACCCGGTCCATCATCGTCGAACGAAGCATATTAAGCTCAATATACACTTCGTTCGTGAGCAGGTGGCTCTTGGCCGCGTCCGGGTCCTCCATGTCCCGACGGCGCAGCAGTTCGCCGATGTCATGACGAAAGGACTGCCTACTTCTGTTTTCGAGGAGTTCAGGTCCAGTCTTTGCGTCTCCGGCGACGCTTCGACTGCGGGAGGGTGTTGAATATATGGTTTGTACATGACTATTGTATAGCCCGGCCCACCTCCTAGTCTTTGTATAGTTGAGGTTGTGGCCCACTTTGTACTCCATATATACGTGCGCTTTGCACCGATCAATACATCGTGAAGCATTGCCAAAACAATCGTTTCCAACATGGTATCCTATCTCTCATCGGGTGATCACTTCACGACACATTTACTTTGATGAGATGGTTTTTCCGTTCCAGCAGGTACCTTCGGATGATGTGGCCTCGCCCGCTCCTGGTGATGGCCGCCCCCGTGCCTCTCTTGGGCCGCCTCCCGGCTTTGAGGGTGCCCCCCGCACCACGGGTCGAGTCTCTCCCCGTCTGGCTGCCTTAGGGGCTGCACCTCCCTCGACGCCCGCGACGCCCTCGGCGTCCCCGGCCTCGACCCTGCCAGCGGCCTCGTCCGCTGCCACGCCGGCGGCCCCGTCTGTCACCACGCAGGCGGCCTCGCCCGCCACCTCGCCGGCGGCCTCGCCTGCCGCTTCACCAACGGCCTCGCTCGCCGCCTCGCTGGCGGCCTCGTCCGCAGGGGCCCCGCCCGTGGCGGTCACATCAGAGGCGGGCTCGTCTTCATCCTCGCCCGCCTCCCCTCCGGCTCCGCTGCCCCGCCCGATGACTCGCTCTCGGGCTGGCACCCTTCGACCGAGCACATGGTACCCCAGTGATGAGTATCTTCTCGCTGCTTCCGCCTCTGAGCCGTCTCCTCTCCCATCGTCAGCTCGAGCCGCCCTCCGGGATCCTCATTGGCTCGCTGCGATGCAGGAAGAGTTCGATGCGCTCCAGCGGAACCGTACCTGGCAGCTCGTCCCTCGGCCGCCCCGTGCCAACATTATCACGGGCAAGTGGGTCTTTCGGCACAAGACTCGTCCGGATGGCACTCTCGAGCGCTATAAAGCTCGCTGGGTGGTTCGGGGTTTCCGGCAACGCGCGGGCGTGGACTTCACCGACACATTTGCCCCGGTTGTTAAACCGGGCACGATCCGCACCGTGCTTCAGCTCGCCGTGTCCCGAGCATGGCCCGTGCATCAGCTGGACGTGTCCAATGCCTTCTTGCATGGCCACCTGGCTGAGCAGGTGTTCTGTGAGCAGCCCACTGGCTTCGTCGACGCCACGCATCCTGATCATGTGTGCTTGCTCTCCCGTTCTCTCTACGGGCTGAAGCAGGCACCTCGCGCATGGTACCAGCGCATCGCTGCCTTCCTGCAGACGCTCGGATTTACATCGACTCGCTCCGATGCGTCCCTCTTCGTGTATCATCACGGAGTTGACACGGCCTACTTGTTGCTGTATGTCGACGACATCATCCTGACGGCATCCACTATCGCACTCCTCCAGCGGCTTACAGCTCGTCTTCGCGATGAGTTTGCCCTGAAGGATTTGGGTCCTCTGCATTATTTCCTTGGCATTGAGGTGGTTCGACGACCAGATGGGTTCTTCCTGCATCAGCAGCGCTACGCCCATGAGCTTTTCGACCGAGCCGGCATGCTTAACTGCAAGCCTGCTCCCACGCCAGTCGACACCAAGGCCAAGGTCTCCGCTTTGGAGGGATCGCCTGCATTTGATGCGGCCTTCTACCGCTCCATTGTGGGCGCCCTGCAGTACCTGACCCTGACGCGCCCCGACTTACAGTATGCTGTTCAGCAGGTCTGTCTCCACATGCATGCTCCGCGCGACTCTCACTGGACTCTGGTGAAGCGTATCCTCCGATACATACGCGGCACTCAGTCCTTGGGACTTACGTTGACGGCATCCGCCTCCACCGACCTCATCGCCTATTCTGATGCGGACTGGGCTGGCTGCCCCGACACACGGCGCTCCACCTCGGGGTACTGTGTCTACCTTGGGCCGTCCTTGATCTCTTGGTCCTCCAAGCGAGAGCCCACCGTCTCCCGCTCGAGTGCCGAGGCTGAGTATCGCGCAGTGGCTAACGCCGTTGCCGAATGCTCTTGGCTCCGTCAGTTGCTCCAGGAGTTGCTTTGTGATGTTCACAAGGCCACGCTCGTCTACTGCGACAACGTCTCCGCCGTTTACCTCTCCGCCAACCCGGTCCATCATCGTCGAACGAAGCATATTGAGCTCAATATACACTTCGTTCGTGAGCAGGTGGCTCTTGGGCGCGTCTGGGTCCTCCATGTCCCGACGGCGCAGCAGTTCGCCGATGTCATGATGAAAGGACTGCCTAGTTCTGTTTTTGAGGAGTTCAGGTCCAGTCTTTGCGTCTCCGGCGACGCTTCGACTACGGGGGGGGGGGCGGGGGTGTTGAATATATGGTTTGTACATGACTATTGTATAGCCCGGCCCACCTCCTAGTCTTTGTATAGTTGAGGTTGTGGCCCACTTTGTACTCCATATATACGTGCGCTTTGCACCGATCAATACATCGTGAAGCATTGCCAAAACAATCGTTTCCAACACATAGAAGAGTAAAGATACAAGAACGAGGGAGAATCCCTCCAAGCACACAAATCCTTAATGATGCAAAAAGACCTAAATGGAAGGAAATAGCTGGCTGCATGACAAATGACAGATAAAAGGTGAAGGGTCTAGGTCAACACCCCCATTTTTTTATTAATAAGAAATAATAATGCTGTAATTCTGAAACTAGTAATGATAAGTTGGAAATTTGGAAAATAGGAAGGACGCCATTATCAGTAGCGTCCAGGGCTGGTCGCTGTTACAAACCACGTCCATACTTGTAAGCTGTTGTTAGCAGCGTCCAATGTTTGGTTCAACGTCCAACCTAAGGGAAACTTATTTGTTCTTTATTTGTTTGATGGGTCAGGCGAACATGTTTTTGTCCGTCAGTCCAAAGATGCGAGCAACACGGACACACGCATTTCACATTTGCGTTGGATTTTGATTTTTTTTATAAAACAGCCTACAAAGGTCCAGTTTATTTTAATTGAAACTAAAAATTATTAAATGAAAAATTAGAAAATTAGTTAGGGGCGGGCGGTAGATCTAGGCGTCATCGTTGTCCTCCTCCACCTTGGTCAGGTCGACATAGATCGGCTTCTCCATCCATGGGAACGTCTGCTGGAAGGCTCTCAGCTGCTGCTTCGCTTATCACTCGGCCAACATCGCGCGCTCCGCCGCCTACCGCTAGGCCTTCTCGTCGATCGCGCTCCGCCGCCTGCCGCTAGGCCTTTTTGTCGACCGCGTCCCAGTTCGGTGAATGCATCGTGTAAGCTGGGTCGCGACGGAGGTCGGCCGGGAGTAGAGCACGATGGTGGTGGATCTCCGTCAGTTGCGCGCAGCCTGAGTCTGGTATGGCTGGCACCGGAACCCTATCGAGGTTGAGGTATGATTCGTGCGACAGGTTCACTTCGGGATATGGCACCGGCACATCATGTTTCCAAAAGTACCGGCAACGGTGCACCAACACTTAGAGGCGAAAGCGTGACCCCGCCGACTCAAGACCGACTTATCTGTTCTCATAAACTAGCCAATTACCAATTGTATTACCAAAGAGTAACAACCCAGTCATCTATACAATATACACTCGCAACCGTGGAATAAATTGTAAAGAAGACCAAACCAAGAAAATTCAACCAGGCCGTGGAACAACTCACATGCGCCAACCATAGGTTCAGTGGGTTATCCTAATGACGAGGAAATGATTCTAATGACAAGTCGCCAGCCAGATGATGTTGCCCCTGCATCCAATAATGTTTGGTGATGTCCCTGCTAGAGTTTGCTTACCATCCAGCAAGGTAAGAAGCGACGACTGCCGGCGTACTAAGGTTTATAGGTCATGAAATATCTATCTATCAGAGGAAAACAATACGATCAAGCCTAATGAGATACTAATCAAACGGCATGACTGGACGCCGTCTATACTAGCGTCCAGACCTGGAAGCAGTTGGCAATAGAGTCCAACCTAGACGCTGTTATTCTTGGCGTCCTTCCTATTTTTATAATTTTTACTGGCCTGTTACTAGTTTCAGAATTACAGAATTATCATTTACCATTAATAAAAAAATCAGGTCAACACCGATGTAAAATTATCCATTCAGAGCACCCACTCAAGCTCCTCATCCATGAAGACAAAACGTGCACACTTGTGCTTGACCATCTGAAGGGCCTGTCGGTCACCACCGTCGCCAGGGATCATCTCTATGCCGGTGAGCAGAGAAAAGTACCCACCTAACTCTCCTGCTGCAAAGGTCTTAGCAATGAGAAACTTGCCGCCACCCAGGGGGAGAAGCTCGAGCTGTTTTGGAAGCCACGCCTCTCCCTCAGGCAGGTTCAGATCTTCCCATACTTTGGGCGCAGTGGGCTGCTGTCCATTGTACATGGCAGAGAGGTCCGTAGCACACAGGTGGTTGGGGTTTAAGTCTGAGAAGCCAAACCACAGATTGAACTCAGGGACGTACTGAGCTCTACCACGAAAGGGCAGCATCCATTCCCCGACGTGACTCCATCCTCGAGGCTCACTATACTGGTGGCGCGGTGTCTCGAAGCTGTAGGTGCCGATGCCGCCATCGCCTGATATGTAGATTGTGGAGACACCGTCGCCATCGACCATGGTGGTGAAGGAGGTAATAAAGGATGGTTGGTACCCAGGTTGGTGGACAAAGGGAGGCGGGGATAGAAGTCGCCAATGCCATTGCGGCAACAAGCTGATCCTCCATTTTCTGGGCGTGCGCTCAAGGACCTCAAAGCATTGTTGGGCGCCCTTCCTGGGGTTCGAATCCAGGACATACATTCTGTCTTCTTCGTCGGCGTCAGGGTGCGCCACGGATAGGCACATGGGTCTGTGTCCCTTGGGCTTGTTGAGGCGGCCTAGGCAGGTGTGGATACGATTGTCGGCGTCATACAGCCCCGCATCGCCCATCGTATTGGCATACACCATTCTGCCTTCGCTGGTGGCGCGGGGGGTGAAGAGCCCGAACATATCGAGGGTGTATCCAGGAACATCTATTGCAGCGATCTTGACGCTTGGGGTCGGCAGCTCCTGGATCTGCATCGCTGGAAACGACTCGAAGTTGATGCTTGGGGTCGGCAGCTCCTGCATCTGCGTCGCTGGGAAAGATTCCTTCTTCTTGGCTACTTCAACGGCTGCTGCTTCTGCTGAACCGTAGAAGAAATTACGGTAAGGATCGATGCGGCGCACAGAATACAAGCCTTCCGTCCAGTTCCGCGTCACAAGATTTACAAACTGCCTCTTCATCTTCGTCTCTGCAACACCACAACAAAATCGGACCTTCTTAGCATTCTCTGATAAAAGGAAAAAATAAACAGATTGCGAAGAACGTAAAGGTGGAGACTTTTGACCAATATAATACTCCCTCCGTCCCAAAATTTTTGTCTTACATTTGTCTAGATACACGGATGTATCTAATATTAAAATGTGACTTGATACATTCGTATTTAGACAAATTTAAGACAAGAATTTTGAGACGAAGGGGGTACCTGAATTTGGTGATCAACAAGCCTTTCCGCTAGATCTATATGAGGTTGGGACAAACCGGCGGCGGGGTGGTGGAGAGGGGAGGGGGGCTATGCGGCGGAGGTAGCTAGGTTTTGCCGACTTGCTCTCTCTCCGGTTCCTAAGGAGATTCCCACAGACTTGGGCCACGGGCCGAACAACAGTTTACACGAAAAGCCCATCCATTTAGGTGTCGCTGACCAGCAAATAAATAATTTTGTCTAAAAAAAGCATATAAATATACCTTTTTTTTAATCTATGGCCGATCCGCAGACAGAGATCTTGGGCCAGATCCGTATACATTCAGCACCCTTGTTACAGCATTTGCTAAGCATGAAAAGCGATTGGAGCTATGCTTATGTGCATGAAAATTAAACTCATTAAGCATTGTGTGAAGGGCGGCCAACCAGCTATGACACGTGGCGCTAGCTGGTTGGCCGTGGTGAAAAAACTTTTGAGATATTATTTTTAGATGAATGCGATGAATATTTTTAAAGGTTATTTTATTTTTAGGCGGAGGTGATGACTCCATATTTTTTTTAAATGGAGGGCTATACAAAGTGGCGCTCGCTGGTAGGTTGTGTTGATAATTTTTCTTTTCTTTTCTTTTTTATTTCTTTTTCTAGATGAAGGTGAGGATTTTTTTAAATGTTTTTCTAGATGGAGGCGAGGACCCCATCTATTTTTTTAATGAAAACATGCACACAATTTTCTCTGAAGCGGCACTATAGGGTAGCGCCCTAACCACTAGTACAGGAGAAATGATGGCATCCAGAGACGAGGAAGAGCGTAGCAAGCGACGAAATGCTTCAGGGAGTTGAAAGCTCCGAAAAATACAGGAGCGGACGGAGCGCCACTTTGACAACTCCATAAAAATACGCAGCGGGCCGCTTCGCTTTGGCCGCTCCAGGAAGTGAGTTGTGGAGCGGAGAGCTGCCGAACATGGCATATATATACTAGTACTAACGCCCGTACGTTGCAACGGGCGAAAAAATATAAACATGCTCCATATGGCATTATGCAACACTTCTTATATCTAATTTTGACTAACGTCAGAGATAAGGTTACACTGAGCATAGCATTTTGGACGTGAAGAAGCCACCCCAAGGACACCTAATTCAAACCCACACTTTCATCCAATGAAATAGTAGTTGTACATGGAATAGTCTTTGAATCGATTTTTTTAGTAAAACACAAATTATTTTTATGAAAGGTGTTTTTTGTAATTTTTAGAACATATTAAAAAATGAGTCAATTTTCTGATGATCAACATTTTTCTTGGAAAAGTATATTTCATTTGTATTTATTTTTGCACTGTTTTTGGGCTTGGCCCAAGCCGAAGGACTTAATACACAGAGACAAAGTAAACTCATACCGACTTCCCCTCTAGTTAGGGTTTTTTCTCCTCCCGGCGGCGCCTGGCACCGACGTGGAGATTGCGATCCCCTGCATCTCCCAGACCGCCGATCGCCGACAGCTTCGGACGACTGGCTAGTGTGCGCGCTGGGGGATCTGGCTAGGGCTCTCCGGCCCGCGAAAACCGTCTTATCGGGCAAGAGATTTGATGGAAGGCTCAACGTCGGCGTCTGCCGCTGCGATGAGCGAGATGGAAGCTATGATGAAGGAACTGGGTCTGAAAGAAGACGATCTGGAGGATGTCATGGTTCATGATGGTGATATACCAGAGGAAGCGGCACGGTGGATGGCGATCGCGCGGGTTCATATGGATAAGCAGTACAGCCAGTACTGGTTCTTCCGCAACATGCGGGTTGCATGGGATCTAGCGCAAGAAGTTAAGTTTCGCCCTCTGGAAGACAATATCTATACTCTGCAATTTTCCTACCTGGGTGATTGGGAGAGAGTTATGGAGGACGGCCCCTGGACCTACAAAGGAAAAGCGGTCGTGATTGAGCCCTATGATGGTTTCACCAGGCCATCGACTATTGTTCTAAACAAGATTGAGATGTGGATTCAGATACATGATCTCCCTGAACTGTTCTTCCACTTGATTAAATCGCTAGCAGCTACTGTTGGTGACTTCATATTTGCTGAGCCTAAATCCCAGGATTTTGAGGGTAACTTTTTTAGGGTTTGGGTGAAAGTGGATGTCACAAAGCCGCTCAAGAACGCTGTCTCGCTAGTGATCTAGAAGAGGAGAGAGATCTTCAGGGTGAAATACGAGAGGCTACCAGATTGGTGTGCTGTCTGCGGTATGCTAGGTCATCAATTCAAAGAGCGTGGTGATGGGGTTCATCCTCCATCTGCGCTGGTGTTCAAAAACCTGAAAGCTGACTGGTTCAGGGGCCCAGGAAGCGGACCAGGTGCTGCAAGGGGCGTTGAAGGTGGAGAGGAAGAGGCAATGCTCGTGTAGGACGTGGCTCGGGATGAACACAACAAGATAAATTTGATCCCACTGTTGACCCGGATACGGATATGGAGGAAGGAGAAGGGAATCGTAAGAGAGGTGCCCATGCAAATACACTCTTGCTTACTGCTCCAGGAACTAGTCCATCATCTTCGATGGAACCCCAAACCCTTGCTACATCTACTGTTCCACAGAGCCCCTCGTCAAAGCAAGATCTCAAAAGAACAAAGACCAGCCCTCCTCGGCTGGAAAAGAACCCAGGGAAGAACAAGTCCTCAAACACCCAAACACAATGCGCAATTGGCGGGCCCTATCAATGAGGCGGGCCCAGCGCAATGAGTTGCCTAGTCTGGAACTATCGTGGGGCTGGCAGACCTGTGACAGTTCGAGAGCTTCGAGATCTATCGAAGCAACTTGCCCCCTCTATTGTATGCATTCTCGAAACTCAGATAGAGGGCTCACGTGTTGAGAATCTTGTAGGAACTTTAGGTTACAATAAAAGCTTTACTATAAGCAGCTCCGGTAGGAGCGATGGACTAGGCATTTTTTGGAATGAGGAAATAAAGCTCGAAGTTATTGGTTATTCTGAGTACCACATAGATGTTTTTGTTGAGCAGATGACAGAGATTAAAACCAGAATCACCTTTGTGTACGGTGAGGCCCAAACAAGTGAGAGGTACAAAACTTGGGACATGTTGCGCGGAATTGCAGGAACGAGCAACGATCCATGGGTGGTGATTGGAGACTTCAACGAAGCCCTTCATCCCATGAGCACGATGGGGTCGACCAACGGAGCCAAGCATAGATGGACGCCTTTTGAGATGCTATTGATACATGTGGTTTATCGGACATTAGTTATCAGGGACAGAGTTGGACTTTTGAGAAGAAGGTGGTGGGGGGCACGTACACCAGGGTGCGGCTGGACCGGAGCGTGGCTAACCCTGCATGGGCTTTGGCCTTCCCAGATGCATCTCTTGAGCACCTCAGTGCCGCTACGTCCGACCACGTCCCGTTATTGCTTCGGCTCCAAGCAGTGCATGCATGCAGACGGGGACCACGGCCGTTTAAATATGAGATCTGCTGGGAGCGCGACCCAACGTTGGACTCAGGCGCTTGGGGATTCGGTGGACCAGGTGAATACAAAACTTCAATCGCTGTCGGGCGACCTGGCAACTACACTTTGGCAGTGTCCGCGGAGAGATCACCAAATTAAAAAAGGAGCTACAGGTGATGCACGAACTCCCATGAAGATCCGGTCCCTCATGACAGGAGACAAAAATCTGCGACCGCCTGGTCGAGTTGTTTCACCGCGAAGAGATTCTATGGAGGCAACGAGCTAGGATTGATTGGCTCATGCATGGCGACAAAACACCTACTTCTTCCACATGAGAGTGAGTAGGCGTCGACGGAAGAACCAGCTCAAGTCATTGCAGCGTGCTAGTGGTCAGGTTACAGAGAACATGCTGGAGATGGAAGATATGATGACCTATTTCTATAAAGACTTGTATAGGATAGAAGGGGTGGGTGACATGGAACATGTTTTAGAAACAGTACCATGCAAGGTTACGCAGGCAATGAACGCTTCATTGAATGCCCCGTACAACGCAGAAGAAGTTAAGACCGCCCTTTTTCAAATGTTGCCCACAAAGGCACCGGGACCGGACGGCTTTCCTGCTCACTTCTTTTAGCGGCACTAGGAGACATGTGGAGATGAAATCACCTAAGTCGTGCTTAAAATTGTTGAGGGTACAGAATCAGCGGCATGCATAATGAGACAGTTTTGGTATTGATACCTAAGGTAAAAAACCCAACCCTACTGAGCAGTTCCGTCCCATCAGTTTATGTAATGTTCTTTACAAAATTGCGTCCAAAGTGATCTCTAACCGGCTGAAGGTGATACTACCCGACATTATATCGGAGGAACAATCTGCCTTTGTTCTTGGTAGACCTATCACTGAGAACATCATCACTGCCTACGAGTGCCTACACTTTATGAAGAGAAATAAAGCTAAAAGGCACTAGTCATTTGCTCTGAAGCTAGACATGATGAAGGCCTATGATAGGGTGGAGTGGCCATATTTGAGAGCAATCATGGTAAAGCTGGGGTTCAGTGAGAGATGGGTGGACATTGTTATGGGACTTGTCACCACTATTAATTTTTCTGTCATGTTTAATGGGAAGAGATTGGAGGAATTCGAACCATCAAGAGGAATCAGACAAGGGGACCCAATATCTCCGTACTTGTTCTTGCTAGCAGCAGAGGGCCTGTCATGCCTGTTAAATCAAAAAGTGAGTCATCCAATCTGGTTGGTGTACAAGTGGCTCCTACGGCGCCGCCAGTTAGCCATCTACTATTCGCTGATGACAGCATGTTGTT